CGACCCGCGACCATGGAGATATAAACAGCTTTTTATAAGGTAAAAATAATAAAACAAGGTCTTTGTCTGCAATGATTAGACATGTTTTTTATTATTGTCATTAGTGATTATCTCAATTTCGGCTAAAAGAATCGACAAAATCCTACACACTGTGCCTTTAACAGCTTCAAGTTTTTATTTTGAAGGTCAATCTTAGCTTTCCCGGTGTAGCTTAGCTGAAAGATGCTAGCTTATTTTATCAAAAAGTTATCAACCATTAGCAGTTAATAACCAGTTAAATTATCATTTTATAATATCGGATGTGTTTTCTATTGATATTGAACTATCAGTATTGTCCATCGTGATATCATATTTATCAGTTTGTACAGTAATTTTTTCAGTTTGTAAAGAAAAATGCAGACACAACCATATTTTTTCTTCATTTTATGTAAAGTGATTTATGTATTTTTCTTCATGGTTTGATTTAGATAACAATGTTCAGTGTTCCCAGTGCAATGGAATAAAAGTTATTCCAAGGATTTTGAACTTTACTCACAATTTTAAACATACTGCTATTATTTCCAGCACAACTGTACATATAATAAGAGACTGTAGTCCACAAACATACCTTCTGTTCAGGGTTGACAACAGGCCAAGGAGTTCATAAAAAGGAAATAAAAAAATTAGTTATCAATAAAGTTAATTTTCTGTGTCATCTGCCTGCCAAACATAATTAAATATCATCTTATAAAAAAATACTCCTTTCAGATACACGCAAAACTCACTTACTCCTATGATTAATAAAAGTGCTCTTGCTCTGCAGAGGTTTTATTTATAAACATCACTGTGTGTCACATTTCGTTGATATGTTTTGTTTTTTCTTCCTCATCTATCCTTGCATGGCATTTTGTTTTTCTTTTTAAAGATAGCGCACCCCCTGCTGGTTGCCGCATGACCTGTTCCCCCATGTTTTTTGTTGTGTGTCTTCTTGAATGGGTGTTCTTAAATGTAATTTCATTGTGCTCTGTACAATGACAATAAAGGCATCATCATCATGCACGCACACACAAAAACAGAAACCCTGATGGTCTTTAAAGGGGAAAAAAAGGCAAACAAAAAAATACAACCCACCAACCTTAAATCAGGAAGCAAGGCTAACTGATGTCATGGAAACAACAAAACTGACGTAAAGCGTTTTGTTTTTCCTGTTATTTATGAAGTTTCTATAGACMCTTTAACAGAACACTTCAAGCCGGGCCTTAAACAGATGCCTTCTGACCGCCTTAGTGTGAAGTATTAATAAACAGAAGCAGCGAGCGTGGTTGAAGCAGGGGTGCTGCAAACAAAAAAACGTCAGTAAAAGAGCCGTAATGATTTACATGTAAAACACTCAGCCGGCTTTGCAGCCCAGTAATGTGAGGAAGTGATATCCGATCTGCACGATCACCTGGTTGCAGGATTAAACAATAAACAGCTTTATTGTGGAGGAAGACCTTGATGATGCACAAACACTTTGAATTTAGTTTAAAAAATGAATAACCACAAATAGCTAAACTGATTTGTCATGTTTTGTAAATATGAAGGAGACATTACACCATGTGTTACACTTTACATCTATGCAGCAGAAATCAACTCGCATCTTCTTTTTGTTCCATGATGCTTGCTTGCTTCATTTCTATAAGCTATGCGTCACATCTACGCAGAACCTGCCCTGATCCATCAGTGGTTATAGGCATACGGCAGAAAAATACTGTTCTTTGCAACCATTTTGTTTAAATGTTTTGTGAATGTGCCTTAACGCTCTACACTATTTTAAATTACACAGTTATCCTCTTGTAGTTTCAACCATTATCTGACAATGTGGAAAAACAGAAAAAAAAGCCACCATCAGATTATAATTCTAACTCACTAGTGTATTTAGTTGTAAAATATTCTCTAGGTGTGTCTGGGAAATGTGAGCTAATGTCTGGAGCCCTGATAAGGATTAGAAATTAGATTAAAGTTGGTGACAGCTGCAGTTCAGTGCTGTTAAACAGAGTTAGCAGTGATGAGCTGATGGGAGGAGACATCAGCTGTCAGTACTGACTAAAACAACAAACCAACTAGTTTCTAATAGGACACTAGTTTAGTGTTGACTGTTTACTTTTAAGTGTTTAACAACCCTATGCAACAGTTTATGTGCAAGCCAAACTGCTTAGTGTTTGTGTGTGTCTGACCTCATCTCCTTCAGCCCCTTGGTCTGGATGACATGGAGGATTTGTTTGGGAGTCATAGGTGCATCAGAGAAGTTCTCTAAAACCTGAAACAAAAAGGTTTATTAGGTTTAGTTTTGATGGGTAGTCTGTGACCAGATGTGCTGTCAAAAAGTTAGCAATGGGTAGTACTTTGTCAGTCATAAATGACGGTCAAAATACAGAGAAAAGGACAAGTCTTTATCCAGGCTAGAATAATGGGTAGCTAGATGAGGGCCAGTTTTTCTTTTTCAAGTTTATTATATTTCTCAAAAAAGACATGCCTGTTTGAAATAACATTCCATTAGATAACATAAAACCTCTACATCTTTGTATGACATTATTTAGTTTWTAGCTGTTTTTTCAAATGAACAACACTTCTGTTATAAGAATCTCTGCAGACCATAACCATAACACAAAAAAACACCAACAAACGACATCATGTCTAGGGTTGGGCAATATTAGTATGATAAATAAATAAATCCCTATTAATTGTGGCATTTAGCCAATAACGATTAATTGACGGCAATTGCATTTGCATATTTTTTACTCTAAATCATTTACCAGGTCTTCTAAAATTAAACTTACAAATATCTAGCCAAATTAACGTCTTTCTTTTAGCAGGTAAGCTATGAGTTGAAATCCACATTTTCCACATTGAGTGGCAGCATATCTGTCGTAACACAATTTGCCATGGGCTCGAATGCTACTTGATAGTGAGAGTGCGTCGTACACACAAATACGTCATCAAGTGGTATTAACTGCAGTAATTACAAAGTGGCAAATAATACTTGCTGACAGTTTTCTGACGATTAATTGCACACCATACAATTTTACGCAACTAATCATGTCATGATATTGTGAAATTGGATGAAGTGCTCTTTTACACAGGTATGTCGGGGCTCTAGAGTGCAACCCATTTGGTCGCAAATGTGACCTGATTTCCTAATAGTACGACTAAAAAAAATGTCCGGTCGCACTGGTGTGACCAATCGTTTGAGGGGGAGTGGTCGCACGCTGAAACTAAAAGTTTCCATGTTTCATAAATAAATTAATCCRGCAGTATCAACAGTCACCTGTCGACACAGTCCCATCTCTCCTAATAACACTGCGCTCTGCTCCCGGGCTCCGCTCCACACCTCCCGCACACACATACACACCCATGTTTGTTGTTCTATCCTCATGGGGACTTTGCATTGACTTCCATTCATTTCCCCGTCAATTCTGTAGCCAACCATAACCTCCCAGGTAGACTACACACCTGACCACAAACCCTAACCTCACCTGGCTGTGTACCAGGGAAATGGTCAATAATTGTATGTATGTAATATACTGAGTGTATGTATATATATATATATACAGTATATACACAT